GGTGCGGGGTGCGGCGCGGTGCCGTCGCGGCAGGAGGTGGCAGGAGCTGTCCGTGAGCCGCGGTGCTGAAGGGCTGTGGCCGCGGGCGGGGCACGGGGCGGGACGGACGGATAGACGGACGGAGGGATGTAGGGGGACGGACGGACAGACGGACGCAGAAGGAGCATGCAAACATACACAGGCAATGGGCGAGGTTACACACAAAGGGACAGATGGATGCACAGGCATGCGAAAAGGGTCAGGCGCGTTCACAGTAAGACACAAACGTCCACATGCTTGGAGCCAGAGAGACAAAGGGACAAGCAGCCGCTCAGAGAGACGCACAGATGCACTGGCAAGGAGAGGCAGAAAGGAAGAGACAGAAGGAAGCTGGCAGAAATGGGCAGCTGGAGAGGGAGTGAGTCAGGCAGGCACCCAGAGAGACAAAAGACAGACAGACACACAGGTGCACACACACATACACACACAAATCACTTGCTGGGGTATCCCCAGCTGTCCCCTCCAGTGCTCAAGAGAGACTGTGCTGTGCATCTGTGTCTGCACTGAAGGTGTCCTGGGAGGGGTGCTTCCAGCCACTCTTCTCTGATAAGGACCAGGGTGCCTATGGCTGTGTGGGATCTCAGTGGGATGGGGATGGAGGCTGTTAGGGTGCAGAGTTGGGAATATGCTTGGAGGACAGTGTCACCAGGACAAAGACTGATAATGGTCAGTCCAGATGTACCATAGGTGACACATAGGGAGGATTTTACCTTCAGTTTGCCAGGAACTGAAACACTTTAGTTTCTCTACTATCCATGCAAGCAGGCTTGGCCCTCCCATGGGCTAGGGTTTGCTGGGAGTACCCAGGGCTGCATCACTGACAGGAAGGGGGGATACATGCACACCCCACCTCCAGCCCAAGTGCACTGCCTGTACCCCAGTGCAGGACCTCCAAGAGACCAGTTAGAAGTGACTGATTTCTGGGAGCAGCAGCACAAAATATAGCTGTGAGGTGGAAAAACAACTTAATTGTGATACAAGTGTGATAAACATGGTGAAATGAGCAAATATTTGGATTCTGTCCCCTGCTGTACATCTCTATGCCACAGAGATTTGCACTGATCCTCTGCTCCTCTACTCCACTTATCCCTGTTTGTCCTCATGGGTGACCAGAGTACAGCATAAGGGAATTCCAGCAAGTAAGCAGGGAGAACAAACAAGCCAGGGCTGGCTTTGGAGAGAGTTGTGACTTCCAAAAGAGTTGTTGCTGTGGTTGAGCAATACCTCCAGTGCAGGAAGCTCAATGTGCACCTGCGGCATGAGCTGCACACTTACATTATCCAAGCAGCTCATATTTTGAAGGCAGAGCATCCCAAGCAGAGAGCCTTGGCACAGGAGGGGCTGCCAGCTGTCCTTGCCCTGGCCTGTGCTGCCTGGCTCACACAGCCAGGGCAGAAATCCTCTCCTTGGTCTGTTTTTTTCCCCAGGTGTTTCACATACTCCTCACACAAGCATATTTTACCATTTCCTCAATATCTCCTAATTTGCATTACAATATCCTAAGGCAGGCATTTACTACTGTGAGTAAATGATCCCAGAACAGAGAAGTTTCCAGCTCTGCTTAGTTATGTGTGTGACATTGTTTTGATGACTTTGTTCTAATGCTTATTACTGATGATAGAGGCCTCTGTGGTTCTCTTTGTCATGGAAAAGTGGAGTGCAGCTTACCCTGGCTTCCTCACTCATGCTGTTTTAGCACTGCCATACATCTGTACCCTAACAGCTGAGTTTGGAGTGTCAGTCTCCTCCAGCACATGATCAATATGGTAATAGAAGTGCTGGTCTTTTCCATGGGGAAAGACCCTTTGCCTCCCAATGGGTCAAGGTGTTCTGACATCGTTCTACACACCCAGAAGGAGGCTGCATGAAACATTTGAGACCTCTGCTGGTTGCTGATGTGACTGCTGGAACCGTGTGGCTGAATGAGTACAAGGGGTCAGAGTCACTAAATGGCAGTGAGCACTGCTGTCCTGCAGAACAAGGCTGTGACTCTGTGGTTAAAGAGAAGCTGAACACTGGCATGTCAGACCTGATATGAGATGGGCACAAACCGAAAGCAGGGCAGTGCCTGTGATGTGTTCAGCATCAGGAAACCTTGACACTTGAGTAACTGTTGGGACACTAGAAAACAAGCAGAAAACCAAAGTCCCATAGATAAGAATTGTACACCAATGAAACAACGATGGGTTGTATTAGAGATTAAATTACCCAGGACCTTTCCATACCTCCTAGTTACTTCAAAAATCAGGTCTTGTATGTGAGACAGCAGGAGGACTCCTTAAAGCTCTGTGATAGTCTCTGCACAGCATCTGCATGCTGACAAGGCTCATTAAATCATTTATCTCCCGAGCTGCAATCTGCCTGGGCTTGTGAGTCACAGGGAAAAGCCGTACTCTGAGCTGTGCACACACGGCAGTGGGACACACACCTCCTGGCCAGCACAGCCCGTGACACTAATGCTCTGGGGAGCTGTTTCACCACCCAGTCTCACCACAGCTGCTTCGTGAGAGGGAAATGCTTGCCAGCGGTGGGGAAAAGGCAGATCCCAGTGTCTTCCAGGAGGCTGCTACCAGATCTCCTGTGGTACAGGTAGGTCTGATCCCCTGCAGGAGGGAGAGCTTTTTGGGTCAGGGCATCAAAGTCAGGGAGAAAACATGTAAGTGGTTAACACACACACATAAGGAGGATGGATGCATTTGTTTAGTAGCACACATACAAACACAATAACAAAATAGGAAAACGGATGTGCTGGATTGCTCTGACTCAGGAGCTTGTTTCTCACAGTGGGAGTTTCATGCTTCTTTGGTATAACTTCTCTACTTCTGTCTGTCTGCAGCTCTGGAGCTTCTCAGACAGCAGTCACATCTCTGTTTGCTGGCCCTTATCTAATCAGTGCAAGTTCACGTCCTGCATGCCATTGTGCTCTGTAATCCACTGTCTGATAACTCACTCTATGAAGAAACATCTTTTTTCATGTTTCAGAGTGGCTGCCAGCAAATTTCATTCCATGTCCCTGGCTTGTGGGACACAGTGGAAGAGCTGGGATATGGTTTCTCCCTACCCACCTCCCTGTGCAGAATTTTGCAGACCTCTGCCTTACCTCACTTCACCCCTTTCCTAGGCTGAAAGGTTTCCTAGGCTGAAATGTCTATTTTATTTTCCTGCACAGAAAAGCCATTTCACATTTTTAGTCATCCTTCAGTGGCTCTTCTGGGGTTATGTGTTGGAAAGACACACAGACAGATATTTCAGGAGGGACCCTGCCATGAGGATGCATGGAAATGACAAATACAGGTGGCTTGCTTGGAGGCCCGGTGCAGGTGCTGTGAGATGTCCCAGGGTATTGGGAAGTGCAGACTGAGCTTCGCTGGCAGGCAATGCTTCCCTGCCAGAGGCTTGGCACCAAAAATGGGCTTTCCTACAGCCAGAACTGAAAGTTCTGGTGCTGTTGGGGGATCCCCTTGGAAGGGGATGGAGCAAGCCTGACAGAGCCTGGAGAGATACAATGGGCCAAGTGCATCCAAGTCAGCAAAACCCTACCCAGCTGTGTGTCATAGTGCCAGAGGGAGGTGGCAGAGCCTTATCACCCGGAGCAGAGTAGAGGGCAATAAGAAAAGTTGGAGTCCTTGGGGAGATAAAGGAAAGGCAGTGGGGACAGAAGAGCTGCTGCCAGATGGAGGTAGACATCCCCAGCCTCTGGCTACCACTGAGGCACAGGAAAGGAGACTGAATGAGTGTTCCAGTGGCTTGGCACAGCAGCATGGGCCTGGTAGATGGATGGTTGCCATCACCCTTGTCGCTGACAGGGATTAACCTGAGGTGGCCGGAATCCTAATGGATTTTCCTCCAGGGTCAGGAAAAACAGACAGAAAAAGGGAAGCTTATTTTTCTGGGGATGGTTGTTTTGCTCTGCACTTTTGGTGGTGGTGCTGACCCAGCATGGGACAACTGAGGTGATGCCACAGGGAAGTTTCTGCTCTGCACAATGATCCCCTCAGCCTGTCCAACCTATTGGCCGTGCCTGGAGATATGAGGGATGTCATCTGTGCTCACAGTAGACTGGGATGGGACACACCTGCCTGTTGCTGTGGTCACTGTTGCCTAAGCCCTTAGCCATCACCCCCTTCCACCCCAGCTGCTTGGGGACCTCCTCACCACCCTCCTGGCAGCAGATGGGGCACACACCGACCCCAGCCTTGTCCCAGCCCATGCTGCAGACACGCTCCCCAAAGTATTAATGATTAATCACATAATTTTAACCAAAGCTCTGGCTCTCTCAGCCATTGTGGAGCTTAAAAAGAAATGAGCATTGTACAATATGGGGAGCTGATGTCAAAGTAGAGTGACTAGGTTTTTATTTGATACTGAAGCCTATGCTTCCTAAAGCTCCTGGCTCAAGGTATTGTAAGTCAATGGCAAACTAACTTGGTAAAGTAGCCTGGTAACAGACTTTGAAAAAGGTCCTCCTGTGGTACATAGCAACACTGAGGCTGGCTGAGAGAACCGTGGAGCTCAGGCAGGCCAGGGAGGTAGAGGCTTGGGGGTGCAGCCCCAGAGATTCTGTCTGGAGCGATGCCAGGCCCTGGAGGAAGCTGAGGAGGGGCTGTGTGGTTCTGTGAGTTGCCACATTGAATCACAGAATTGTTAGGGTTGGAACAGACCTCTGGAGATCATTCAGTCCAACTGTCCTGACAAGGCAGGGTCACCCGGACCATATAACACAGGGACACGTCCAGGTCGGTTTTCAGTGTCTTCAGGGAGGGAAGAAACTCCATAACCTCCCTAGGCAGCCTGTTCAGTGCCCTGCCACCCTCAGCATAAAGTTTTTTCCTCATCAGAGAAGGTCACGATCTGGAGCAGGTCTGATGAAGCTCAGGGTCCAGAGCACCTCATATGAGGAAAGCCTGTGGCCTGTTCAGCCTTGAGAAGAGGCAACTGAGACAGGACCTCATTAATATGTATAAATATCTGAAGGGAGGGTGTCAAGATGATGGATCCAGCCTCTGTTCGGTGTTGGGCAGTAGGACAAGAAGCAAAGGGCAGAAGTTAATGCACAGGAAGTTCCATCTGAGCATGAGGAAGAACTTCTGTGCGGTGTGGGTGAACACACTGGTACAGATTGCCCAGAGAGTTTGTGGAGTCTCCCTCGCTGGAGATATTCCAGAACCATCTGGACACGATCTTGTGCCATGTGCTCAAGGATAACCCTGCTTGAGTGAGAGGTTGGACCTGACAATCCATTGTGGTCCCTTCCAACCAGTCCCATTCTGTGATTCTGTGACTCATGTTGAGACAGAACTTGTTGTGGTTTAGTTTATGGCCATTGCTGTCATCTGGTCACCGTGTCACTGGGCACCACTGAAAAAGAGCCTGGCGCCCGCCTTTGAGATATTTATATGCATTGATGAGATCCCCTCTCAGTCTCTCTTCTCCAGACCGAACAGGCCGAGCTCCCGCAGTGTGTCCTCACAGGGGGACGCTCCCGGCTCCCCCTCATCCTGGCGGCCCCGCGGGCCCCGCTGCAGCGGCTGCCGGTGTGGCACTTTGCCGACGCTCCCTGGGCGGCGGGTGGTGCGGC